ATATATATATATATATATATATATATATATATATATATCCTAGACGAACGTAACATATATAAGAAGATATTTTATTCGATTAGGATGCATCAAATATTTTGGTACTTTTGTCATATGTAAATATATCATGTATAAAAGAAAGTTTTGAATGGACACAACATTTATGACGCTTTTGAATTATTTTAGTTTAAAAATAATTTATTAGATATTTTAGATCTTCTGAATCATGAGAAGACACATTGCATTCAATGAGAAACGCTTCGGATAGGGTTGGGTGATATGAGGACAAAAACAAAAAAGGAAAAAAATTTTACTCGAGTTGCTAATGTTAGAACAAGTGGATAAATGAAGTGGTAGTAAAAAGGTCTCACTTCCAATTTGGAGACTCGAGTTCAAGCATTAAGCGGGGCATTTGGTCACGGGCATTTCATCAGCTGATTGGATTCTGTTCGGCCCACTATTGGTCGGAGATCATGTCGGTCGGACTGAGGCCGGGTCGGGTCCGGTCGTGGGTTGGGTTGGGTTCGTCCTTCAAATGAATTGTCTCAGCTTTCCATTCTTCTTTGTTCTTTTTGCTAGGACCAAGAAAAAGAGAAAGAACTGTGTTTGTGGTTGTAGCTTTGTCAGAGTTTTCGTATGTTTTAATTCTTGTAGTATCACTTACGGCAAAAGCTCTGATTTTGCAGGTTGCGAAACAAGAATTGGGAGTTGCAGGGTGTGAAGCAAGTGGTATTGTTGAATCATTTTCTTCGCGATGATTTTATGAACAAGTCTGTTGGTTTTGGTCCATCTGCATATAATGCGATGATTCTATCTCTTCTAATTTATCTTCATATTTGGTTGGTCATTGAAGTTCATTTAATTCTGGAGTGCCAATTGGTGTTGCAGTCCCTTGAGTGACATCAGTAGCATCTGAAATGGAGACCTTAATTTAGGTGTTCGAGATATTTCAGTTTCTATGAACTATAATGGTAGTTTGCCAATGACATATGTGCATTCAAGAACATGGTATTGTCCACTACGAATCATACCGATGTAGCCAAACATATATAGAAGACTATATTCTCTAGTCGAAAGACCTGAAGCTTTTTGTTGCGGTATCCTTTATCTTAGACCAGGCAATGGAACAAATGTCCACTATCTTCTCTACTTTGTGCAACTCAAGCAACTCTACTTCCAGTATGGCACCATCTCAAACATAAAGGGTCTATCTGTTTAATGAAGGTTTTTATTTCATAAAAAAATAGATTTTTTTTGCTCAATTGGAATATTGTTTCCTTTTCATTTTCTGGTCTACATGTATCGGAATATTTTCTGCAATTGCTTTTCATGCAATTTGTTGCAGAGTGAAGTTATAGCTACAGAATCTTTTGTGTTATTGTTTTTCATGCAATTTGTTGCAGAGTGGAGTCATAGCTACAGATACAGCAGGAGATGTAGTATTAGATATTGAGAGGCTCAAAGGGTCTTCTAATAGGTGCCTTGGAAACCCAACAATGACAGTGAGCAATCCTATGATACCTAATCCAATTATCCCTGTAATATCATGTAGCTACATGTTGTTACCAAAGTGTTTTAATCTAAGATATCTTGTACTAAATTTGTTTTTCTGTAGGAGAGAACTTGATCATACCGAATGGAGAGGTGGAATGGTGATGAGCAAGAAGTGGATGATGCAACCAAAAAGGTTGTCGTTAAAGGTATGGAATGTGTGTATGGATTAACAACTAATGAAGAAAATAAAATCAAGAGATTAAGAACACACAATTAGCATGAAAATTGAGGTGGTTGATGCTTGTATCTCTGTCTTTGCATATTTGATTACATCAAAGATGTAAAAGGACCATTTCATGACATTCCATTGCATGTGATTTTTAGATTTGGCCTACTCTGTAACTTTTGTCTCAAATGTATAGCTTGTTATCCATTTCTGCTAAATATGATACTGTGATGGTGTACTTTAACTTCTTCACCTCAGATTCACTATTCAATTGCTGGTAAGACTCATTTTAGATAGTGAACAATTAATTTGCCATGTCTCAATAGTCCATATCCTAAAGTAGAATTCTTTTTTTCTCTCTTTAATAGCAGCCAGTTCTCACATGGAACAATTTAAGCAAGCTCTGGTTTCAAAGTTGCAGCCAATATTTCTATTTCAGATGTAGGAGACAGAAGATGTAGGAAGTTTAATCCCAGAAGGGCCATCAATCCCAGGAGAATCCTTCTCCTTTTTGCTTCTTTGTAAGTATCATCTATTACCCTTTTCATGCAATGGTTTTTCCATTGATCAAATGGGATAAGTTTTCGATTTCATTCTATTCCATGTTGTCTTAACATGGTTAATGACTCGGGATTTTGAGGATATTTCAGAAACTTAAAACTTGCTGACAATTAGAAGCTCAAGTATCATGTAAAGGAGTCAGGGTTTTCCGATCGCAACGTTTATCAGCGAAAACTAATAAGATTTAGTACTATTTGGATCATCTGACTAATGGAAGATCCTTGCATGAAAATATAATATATACTATTTCAACTTATGATTCAGACAATTGATTGATGCTTTTAAACATTATTTTGTTGTTGTAAGGTAATGTCTCATTGATCCTTAACACACAATTCATGGTGTCTTCTAAAACATACTACTCGTATATTTCCTATGCTGATGATTTCATCATCATGCTGGATGTTTGTCATAACATATACATCATGCTGGTGTTCATTTTCTTTGATGATGGCTTATCCTTGTGTGTGTAGACAGCTTATATTTGAGGCTTTTATGTTGTGTATAGTTTGCCTTCATAAGAGATCAGATGCCGTTCCTTTCTCCATGACTCATAACTTGTCTTCAGCTTCTGTATCCTAGTAAACATCCACTGTTCATTACCTGGGCTTGCATGGAGTTTAGGTTGACAGATAAACCACACTGTGGAAAATGCTTGTTTGGTTGCTTTTAATTATTTATATAGTACCTAAAAAGTGACTTTGTTGTTGGTTAAATTCTTACCTGAGACAACAAAAAAATATTGACATGGATCAGAGTAAGAACACTAGAGTAGTTGATTTGTTTCATGAGAATAGTGTAAAATCACTAATATTTGACTACTGCTTACAGGTCTAGCATGGGGACAATGACTCTTATATTTCTCACACTCTCACTCTATCCGCGACAAAGCTAGGATTGATAGACAGATTGTTTGTCATTGTTCTCAGGATGATCAACAGTTGATGCAATGGGAGCAGCTCATTCTTGGAATTTGCTACATGAACTTATGAGCCACTAGCAAGTTCTAGAAAAAGGATAGATACCTGCACAGTTTATTCTGAGTCATTTGACATCTTTCATTCTTTTTTTCCCCTCTCTTTTTGCCTTGGAGTGGTTTATTTTTCTGAGATTTTGCAACTTTTGAGGATTTTTATTCTTGAAGAATTGGAAAATGCATTGTTTATATTGTTACAGATATGATTTTAGTAGTTTTACAAAATATTCTAATAAGCTAATGGATATAATTATTTGATTAATATGTTCTGTTTAACAAAAGAAGTAAGTATAATTAATAGAATGATATACAATATAGTCATTGGCATGTGATGCCAACCAAAGCCCCTTTCCTTGATGCAACAAGAACAAAAGATGAGAATAGGACTGTTCCTCCATAAGTTCTTACTTTCTTCCAGAAATGTAAATGGAAGAAGAGTGTGTCTGAGCAGCATACCCCAATAAGGAAATAGTGATCTGATCTGCACTCTCCATACTATGTACAGGAGACGTGCAGATCCATCCTTCCTTTCTTCAATCTTTTTCCTATGTAGAACAGACTAGATTTCATGCTGCAATAGAACTCCTAAAGATTTTAAGGCAGCCTCTCTGTCAGACTTCATCAATCGAGGCTTGAGAAGTATGCTGATGGAGGAAAAATTAGCTTTACTGAAAAGAGATTTTTATACCACTACGATTCACCCAAAAGAAGCAACAACACAAATCGATCCACAGACACAAACATAGAGCACAACGCAGTGTTGACACTCCTCTTATTGGCTACTCCAAACGTAGTCTCCTGCAAGTAGTAGGTCAAGAAAACAAAGGAGAAACCAGGAAGGTCATGGTAAGATGCACGCCAACGTAGTAACGACGGTGATGAGAAACAGGTGGAGGGGCTTCTTCAGCAGGGCTTCCTGCACATGCACCGGCGACGGACGCCCTCGCACTTGCCGTCGGGGAAGCCCTCGCCCTGGCAGACGCTGGCGCAGTTGCTGCTCCTCACGCACGTCCCCTTGAACCTGGTGCTCGCCGACTCGCACGTCCTGCCTTCCACCGCTACCATTTCCTCTGCATGACATTCCCAACAACAGCAGTTCCGGGTTACGACACTTTACATCACAATGCATTCAGATATTTTTGGTCACCAATCTCATAAAGGAAGACAACAGGCAAGCAGATCTTGGTTTGATTTCACGGCAAGTGATTCCAACAGCTTTTATCTCTTGATTAGTCGTCCAAATTCACTGCTAACTTTGTAGTTCTCCAAAAGAAAAAGAAGTCCTACCAGAAGCAATTAGGAGAAGGGAGAGGAGGAGAAGGAGGAGCACTGAAGCTTTCTTGGTGAATCCCATCGTCTTCCTCCTCTGTGGCCTCTGGGTTTGCTTATGACAATAGAGAGGCAGTAGGATGCCATATTTATAGTGGCAATGCTCAGTGCCAGTGCTAGCTGGAAAGGACTTTACCTTCCTTTTCTCTCTTTTCTCTCTTTTCTCCACGTCAAATAAACAAGAAAATAAAGGTCGTGCTGACTGGTGAGCACTAATGAGTTCAGTCCAACCAAAAAGAAAAGAGAGGAAAAACACAAGTTTTGATAAATGTCTAATCTTTTTATTGCAACAAAGTAGAACAAATGTGATTTGTCCACTACTTCACATGCGTCCTTTTCCCACTGTACAGTGACACAATTCAGTTGGAAGAGCCCCTTTTTATTTTCTGATCCGTCTTCACATTAGGATCCAGATATCTCTATGATCTGTGGTTCGTCCACAGTGAGCTCGTGATATCATTTCATGGATCAGAACGTGTCAGGTCACTTATTGATCGTACCCCACATTGTGTCTTCTGCTCATCCTCATCCTCTACTTGCCAGTTACTTGCAGGCTTGCGGTAAAAACAACTAAAAGTTGGCCACACAATCTGAGCCTAAATAGCTTTTCACCGCAGGCATGTTTTGTGACCCTAAATAGGCTTGTCATTCCAAATTCCATGAAACACACTAATTACATCAGAAAAATTCACAAAATGAGTTTGATGAAAACCGCATGACAGAAAATATACAGGGTTCAAAACTAGAGTTGGAATCTTCAAGCAGCTTTTAGTACAGAGGGAAGATGAAACAGAACAATTACATCATCACTCCACAGTTAGAGACAGCCCTCTTCAATTCACTCCCCACAGTAGAATAGCAACAACCTGCAGAGGTGATTTCAATTGATACATAAAGGGCCGACTAATAGGTAAGATAACATGTCACAAATACATGCTGTTGAAACTAATATATTTCATACATATGCAGAAAGCAAAGCAAAGTCTCACCGAAGTCTAATCTTGTTAGTCTAATGTACATAATATACACCAAACAAACTATATCTACAATCTTTACCCACCTTGTAAGACAAGCCTATTGCACAACGATAAAAAAAACTTGTTTCTTACCTAAGAACAGCATGCTGAAGATTGTGATCTTTCAGCAGGTCTATCTGCAAGAACCATTCCTGCTGGCTGCTGAATTGGCTGAGCACGAGGTAATCTTTTTGCTGTTTCATAAAGAATACCACAAATTTATATTTTACAATGAAAAACAGCTAAGTGTCATTACATAATATAAGATTCAAAGTGCTTAAATTAACCAAAAAAATTAAAAGCAAACTGGCCAAAAACTTCAAAGGAAGTGAGGTTTGGGGAAACTAATACAACATGAATTACAAAAGCTGAAGTGATAAAGAAGAAAAATACATAAGCCCTGAAAGCTCAAGAAGCTCTGGACTGATATAATCGAACAAATTAGGAGTTGCAGGAATCAAATTACATGATAGGTAAAGTATGATCCTATTAATCAGATCATCTAGTGTAGATCTTATATACGTGCAGCAGGTAGATATTCCAAAATAATGTAGACCATCCTGTTAAGAAAATTTAGTCCGACATAAATAGAAACATGATTCTTATCAGATTAAGTAATATTCAAAATATTAGGATATTTGCTATGTAGATGAATTTTGGACTAGAAGGTATCAGAAATAATCATGAGACTCCCACTCCCACTTAAGGACAGAGTAACTGCTTCATTTCCACCTATGGTTTACCATGTCATACAATTAACAAGCTCACCCTTCCACTGGTAGCATGAAAATACCAAACATCATACCTATTTCATAAAATATGTCATTCACATTGATGGCAGCTTTAGCAGAGGTTTCCATGAAGAAAAGTCCATTCTCTTCAGCATATGCCTGTGCTTCCTGCAATGCAAAAAATCAAAAAAGATGTTTCACATTTCTTCCACACAGGAATTACACCAGCATCTCCAGTCCACAATCTCATGAAAATCTAAACGATCAGTAATAAAATAATGTGTTTTGCATCTGGAGATTTAACTTAATAAAAATAAACAATAAATTCATCTACAGCCATATTGCCCATTTTCTTGGGTAACCAGACAGGAAAATTATATGTATATTCAAACTCATAAGCTTCCGAATGTATCCAAATGAATCAACCAGCAACTAAGAGTTCATGATGCCTGAGCTTAACTAATTAAGCTAATTGATTTTTGGATTTACCCTTGACATGAAGCCATAGTTTCAGCAAATAATGCAACACATTTAGAATAAATAGTCTACTAACAACCACTAAAGTTGCATTTGACGTAAGGGATCACACTGATGATAAAGTCCATGCGACGCAACTTGCCTCTGTCAGAACTTCCCTTTTATCTGCTAAATCACATTTATTTCCAGCAAGAGCAGTCACCATGTTGGTATTACCTACAGTAGAGTATCCACATTAACATAAAAAATCATCAGTAAATCAACTGGCAGAGATCAAGATGTTCCAGCTTTAACAGACCTTGTTTTTGTAGCTCTTGCACCCACTTCTTAGCCCTCTCAAACGATTCCTGAACTCAAGGAGAACAAATAGATAAAAAACAAGGACAAGGATTGTAAGTACGTAATAGTTGTAATTTTCAGCCATCTGTCTCCTGAAAAAATTGAACTAAATTGAATGAAACAGGATGAGACACCACACACCATCCTGCATATATCATACACAATTATCGCTGCCGCCGCTCCTCTGTAGTACATCGGAGCCAAGCTGTGGTATCTCTCCTGCCCGGCCGTATCCCAAATCTCAAGCTTCACCGTCGCATCGCTCACCGCCAGTGTCTGCGAGAAAAAGGCCGCCCCAATCGTGGATTCCTGCAATCGATCCAAAGACAACGGTATGTCACAAAACCGTCAAATCAAAATCAACAAAACAAAGCGGTGCAACGGGGACCTGGAATTCGAGGAACTGGCCCTTGACGAACCGAAGGACGAGGCTGGACTTCCCGGTGCCCATGTCTCCGAGCAAGACCTAGGTTTCAAGAACATCCAAGTTTTGTATCGGAGAAATCGAGATAAAAGGAGCGGAATTCAGAGGGTTGACTCACGAGCTTGGCGTTCATGCTGTTGTTCCCGATCGTCGCCATGGGAGCTGATGCCAAGGCAAGGAGGGTCCCGACTGGATCGGATGGGATCAAATCAGATCGAACGAATCCTCCTCGCTATTCCTTTTCTCTAGGGAGAGAATGGAATATGAACGAGGAACGGAAAGGGGGTGAAAGATGGCAATCACCGCGATGGGATCCTCTGCAGTTATTGTGAGTTTGGCACGCAACGGTTTACGCCATTGATAAAGTGGGGCCACATCAGGGACCGGTTCTGATCTGTATTGGACAATCCAATTTACAAATATGTTGGAGAGAATCTACACCAGACAGGAGAACCCAAAGGGTGTTTGGGTTGAGTCGCAGATTCTCGCCGTCAATCGTCATATAGGACCGCAACCGCGCCTCGATCAGAGTCCAAAGGCCAAACCAGAGAGAGATTGAGATCGATAGCAGAGTTTCGAGAGAGAGGAATGGCGGAGGAGGAGGTGAAGCTGGGCTCATCGAAGCCGATGATCGCAACGCAGCAGGAGATGATGGATAATCGGGTGCCTATCTCCTACCGCGACCAGTGCGCCCACCTCCTTATCCCCCTCAATAAGTGCCGCTCCGCGGAGTTCTTCCTGCCGTGGAAGTGCGAGGCCGAGCGCCACACCTACGAGAAGTGCGAGTACGAGCTCGTCATGGAGCGCATGCTCCAGATGCAGAAGATCCGCGAATTGGAAGAGAAGAAGAAGAAGGAGAAGCAGGTCCAGGGCGCCGCCGCAGGCATCCCGCTCATCCCCTCCTCCGCCAACGCCTGATCCTCTTCTCCGTTCGCCTTTCCCCTTTCTGATGGTTTGGCTCCGTTTCAAATCCCTCTACTCTTATGCTTTGATTAATCTAAATGCATGATTTTAGGTTCAAGATTCGACTATGGTGGTACATCCTCTTTTGGAGATTTTGATAACGTTGATCCTAAAGAAAAAAGGAGTTAGGATCATTGTCTCTTGCCGATCAAGGTTTAGTTTTGATAATCTGTTCCTCGATTCGGGGTTATTCTAGCAGTTAGCATTTGAGAAAGATTGAATCTTGATGAGTGTTTCGGAATTCTTTTTGTCGCTTCGGTTATTACAAAGCAGAATTTGGTTTGATGATGCATCCCTCTTTTTTGGGATTCGCCTAGTACTGTATATGTGAGAAAGATAGGATCTTTTGGATTTAGAGATGCTGCTTTATTGTTCCTTTGATCTATTGGAATTGATACATCTTTCTTATGGAATAAGGTATGTGTTGGTAATTTTAGATTTATGATAAAGATTTGATTTTGTGGTGGTTAAGCCTTAAGAATAATCAGCTTTAGTAGTATTTATCTTCTCTTACAGGGCCGGGAATTTTTCTTAATTTTAATGTTCTAGCTAATGGGCCATCCAATTGGCTTGCTAATTTTGCTACGACTATGGTTTCCGATTGTATTTGATAGGAGAACATTCCCCCTGACCTGGAAGTTTTGGTGATTGTATAAGAAAAAAATGGCTGATAAAGGCTATGGTGATTGTAATGAATGTTTGTTCTGACAACAGTATTACTCATTTTAGTATAACCGAATGGAGCAGGAAGTCTTTGCTGCAATTAAATGATTTCTGCTGTTTAGGTAGTTTCCTGTGTCATGGTGGAAATTATGCTGTATAAGGCTGTAGAGGGAAAATTAACCAATGGCTTTATTGGGGAAAAATATTCTTTTACCGGGTGGTCAGATGTTATATGGATCAGTGAGTCAATGGATCTGACCATAGGGCTAGTGATGCTGATAGAAACTATAGAAGAGAGAAATAAAAACAAGAGAGGAAGGTGGTGATACATTGAAGGTAGGAGAAAAGAAAGCTGAAGAATGAAGGAAGAGAAAGAATAATGATTAAACATTAAAACAATCTTCATCTTAAATAATTGTTCTTAAGAACAAGGACCAGGACCACTTACAAGGACAAATTCAAATTTGTTGGCAAAGATAGAAAAAGGTCGAAGTATTTATTTTTTTCAAACTTCTTGTCGCCAAGAGACCAACAAAAAAAGAACATTATTGTGTTATTTATAAAATCATAAGAAGATAAAATAATATTGTCTAGATCAGCTTTTTCATGTATTCCCAGAAGTCTTCTAGACTTTCCATCTTTATGAATGTTTTATCTGACAGTATTATGGTTTGTTTTTTTTCCTAGTATCAAAATCAATAACTTATTACTTGTGAAATTGGATTAATTAAAAATGTATTGCTTTAATTATTTTTGTTTAACTCACCCGCTCATGTGGTCTTTGGCAAAAAGTTATAATTAGATACAAGTTTGGTTCATTGTCATTTCTCTTTTGGTGGAGTCTAGAAGACCAATTTAATGTCTTCTTTCATGTTGAAGTATGAAATACAAATTGATTGTGATTATGTACTCATCTTAGTTCTGATTTGCTGAATAAACTATCAAGTTTGTCTCCACTATCCTGAAATTCAGGTGCTTTACATAGATTGCTGTTATATTGAAGTTTGTTCTATTCTTTATTATCTCTTGGCTGCCTCAAGGCCATTAGATGCATTTATTATGGCACAGTGGTTTCATCAACTTGCTTTTTTAGGAAAATGATATGATCATGACCTTTGAAGAACAGTGTGTTGAGGTTATACTGCACGTTTTGCCAAGTATGCATGTATAACTAGTGAAAAATAAAAAGAGAATATTATAAGGATGAAAGAGAGAAAAAGGAAGGAGGAAGATGGTGATGGTGGTGTATTGGAAACAAGGGTGGCAATAGCGGCTCTTATGAGGAGGCAGCAGCAGCGACAATGCAGCAGGGTAGAGTAGATGGTAGTGGCAGGACGGCAAGGTTGAAGAGGCGAGTTGCAAAGGGAGAGTGAACTGCATGAAAACAGAAAGACAAGAGGAGAGTGATGATGAAGATAGAGAAGGAAAAAAAAGAAAAAACTGGAAGCTATCAAAAACTGTAAAACATAATAGGGGTAATAAGTGGTAGGCTTATTGTCTTGTACCTCCCAATTTTAACAAGTAAAATTGGGCAGTACACCCAGTAAGGAGCATGGCATGAATCCATATCAGACGAAAACCGATGGTCCATGTGACCAGATCAGGCCGGTAATATTGGTTTGTACCAACCAGGACAATCAGTTTTTTAAGCCCCGTGTTCAATAATTAGTATTTGTTGACTTTGTTACTGTGATATTTTCCCCCAATTTTTATCTGTGACCTATATTATGAACTTTATTAAATACAGTAATAGTGTTTATACGTGACCTATAATTGTGAACTTTATTGTTATCCAAGGGCAATAGTGATCATACCTTAACTAAGCCTAACTTATTGTTAAGACTACAAACATGACAAGTACAATTATAGACAACTAACGGTTCTTGTGGCTTACTTGATAATAGATTAATTTGTATATCAATAAGTAGACAACTCTGTTTTTAGAATCTTCTAAATGATTTTCATCCATTATATGAGATAGTGCATGAAGTGAATAATTGTCTGACTATATTCAGCTAATTCATTAAAACCTAAATACAATGGTGTTGATGCAGCTGTTGGCACTTGGAAGTCCTGAACTTATGCCATGTTGTCATTGAAAATGAACTGTTATCATTTGGTTTCCTTCTACATGTTATAAGTACATAGTGCACATAGGGTTTTTGGGAATATTTTCCTACATAAACACATGGATTCTAGCACAGGTGAGTACATCATGGTGCCTTATGAAGTCACTAATATTAGCGATACAATTTAGTGTAAGCAATCTAGTCAAGGTGTTTAATATTTAAATTTCCTTCAGACATGTTGCCTCCCAAAACAATCTTTGCTAGGTCATCAATAGTTCAAGCAACTAGTAATAGGTCCTTTATGTACTGAATTATTGTACGCATTACCTTACTAATTGATGTTTGTTGTTCTCTTACAACTGGAGTTGACAGGAGTGATTATTCACATGGTTGCTGGTTCAAAATGGTCATCTTTCTGTATTACATTGGGAATTCATTTGGTCACCATTTCTTCTAACAAATCATTCTCTTTCTCTTTGGACAGGAGATCAGGATCCACAAAAAGGATTCATGTCGACAACGTCCAAGAACTGAAGTCGTGTTTGTTTCACCAAACTGTGTTGGACTTGTGCTGACTTTATCATGCTTCCTCATATTGTGCATCTTCATTTTAAGTTGAAATAAGGAATTCCTTGACCTACCTTATGGCAACTTATTTTTTGAATCAATAAAAGATACAACCTTGGTACAACTGTGAGGTCACTCCTTTACTTGTTCTTTTAGGATTGACATCTTGCATCAATGGAGGTTTCAAACATTGATTTCATCCTTATTTTGTGGCTTAACAAAACAAATATAAAGTGCATGCTTGAGTCTTGTTTGCATTGTTAAATGGCACAGCTTTATGGACAATGCCACATTATTTTGTCGAACAGCTTCTGGAGTCGGAAAGTTCGGATAACTTGAAACAGAGCTCACCAACAAATGGGCACGAAAATGGAGGTTTTGAAGACTCATGGGAGTCTTCACAATATCTATATCTTTTGAGTTTGCAAATGGAATTTTGTGCTTTAAATTTTCTAAATAATTCCTTCATGTGTTCAAGATTTTTAAATCAACTTAAATGTATAATAAAACAACGGGGGATGCAACACTTTTTGATCCTAAAAAGATTGTCCTCAAAATAATTCTTCAATAAATGATTTGTATCGTTCACTGTATGATAATGTGACTTACAAGTAAGAAAGAAAATAAAATTATTGTGAATCGAAGGACTTGGAAACCGTTCTGTTCCCATTATAAACCGTTATATATGAATTCTGTTATAGATATAGAAACCGATTTATAAGACGCTACATTTGCCTCTCGAGAACTCACCCAAACCTAATTCGCAAGCTCGGATTTGATGTTGAGGCTGCGATGACATCGATCGCCAACTCCATTTACTTCCTTCCGTTCCAATCCATTTATTTGCAGGTTTATCTCCTTTTCCTTCTTATCGCTGTTCGCTGGCTCGATTTTTCTTGCGTTTGGTTGTAGTTTTTTCTACCGCTTCTGTCCGATTGCAGAACCACTTTCGTGATGACAAGGGGTGGAATTCGGCCAATCTATGTTGGTTTCGGTTTGATTCTTCCCGACCGAAATGGAACTGCAGGAGGTCGAGGTGGTTTTTTGCGATAAGGGCCTCAGCCCTTGATTCGGCGGGTAATGACGGCCCAAGTGTGCCGGTCGATGGAAAAGGACTGGATTGGGAGAGGAGAATCAATTCATTTAGGGAGATGGTTAATGCATTGCCTCCTGCAACCCTTGTTGTGAGTTCTTGTTTTCCCTTTGCTTCTGGCTTCTTTCGTTTGCGTCAGGTGATGAATCCGCTAGTTTATGCCTTAATATATGACATCCTTGGAAATTTATAGTCACTATGTTCCATAATGGGACAACTAAAATCAGACTGGAACTTCATTTCTCAAGAAAAAATAACAGCTTTGTAACCTAAAATTTTTTCCTTTTTTCCGTGGAAATGTGGACGCTCCAAAAGATTTGTGAAAATGTGGAGTGATTTCAGCTAGTCAAATTAAGAGGTGCTTGAAATTTCTGAGAAAAAGTCGTACGTTCTTTTCTAATTTTTTTCTTGAATCATGGGGCTTATCATCTAGACAGCTAATTAACCAAATAAATGTTTCTCCATAACTATTTAGTGTTTGTTTCGCTTTACTGCCTTACCAAGAAGACCATATCTATATTTAGTTGAACTTTCAACTTTGTACATATGTTTCCTCATTCTATTTTCTTCTGCACCAACTTTTTTGGCTAATGTTACGTTGTTTTGCTGTAGTTGTCTTATTGATGTGCCTAAATACTCATGTGTATCCTTACAGTATTTTTTGTACATAAATACTAATTTGTAAAAGTATCTTAAAGAAAAGCTTGACTTGTTATCCCTTCTCATTATTTTGAATTTACTTAAAACCTAAAAGGACACCTTTTTTAATGTTATGTAAAATATTTTTATGAGACATCTTTGCACGAATAACTTGCTGGCTTCAAAACTTCAAATGTATGTACAGATCCTGCAGTGTTTTGCATTGTGAAGAGGACCATAAATGACCTTGTATTTCATTTTTTTTTCTGTGATGTCTCACATTATGTACTGATAGTTTCCTCATTTCAGTTCAAAGGAACTACCCCTTCAAAATCTGTGTTAATTTTATCTATCGCAATTGCAATTTTAGCAATTGCTGCAAGGAGGATCATGCTTAAAAAAAAGGATCATAGTTATCAAGGTTCTGTAGCTGATCTTGTGAGAAGAGGCCAGCTAAGATCGGATAGGAGAGGCATGTAAGTACTGTGTTTTAATATATTTCTTTTTATTGTAATATGTATTAATTGCCATGTTATGACATGTTCTGAAATTGTATTTGCTATATTACTGACTTTGTAGTTCAAGTCATATTTGGTCATAGTCATAGGTGGTTACAATTCTGTTTACATATTACTCCCTGTAGTTATCTAAGATTAGCATTCCGATCTGTATACTTTAAAAAGTAGCATTGGGATCCTTACACTTACGAAAGTGAAACATTCAACCTCAATTCTCCTCACGTCGTTAATTTTGACGTGAATGAAAAGGGTAAAAAAAATAATTTCATGGACAGTAGACCATTGGTGACATCAGGGGCATGCAAGGCCGGTAACGCCGGTGGCACACGAGGTCAGTGCCCAGATCTCCTTTGTAACACCACCCTAGTGCGTCGACCTCACGTCCCGCATCCCGCATCGCAACAAGCAAAGGCCCCAACTTGGCATGCCTCCCGTCGATTCCGTCGCCAGCCCCATCGGTAAAATCCGCACCGCAGTGCGGAGTGCGGCCACCTCCCCCGCCTCCACCTCCCCCGTCGCCAACGCTAGGGTCTAGGTCGGCGGTAGCAAGCGTGAGGCGGGTGCCGGAGGTGGTGGAATTCTACCACTCCCTTATGTGATAGGACTCTAGGAGGGAGTCCTACGGTGGGGTGCAGGAGGCACCTCCCGCTGTCGCATCCGTCTCCAACGCGCCCAACATGATCGACGAGATCGAGAACTGCTTCACGCACCTCCTCGCCGTAAGTCCCATTCCCCTTTCCCCTCGTGCGCTATCGGCCTCACATGCTACTGGCATTGCCGGCCTTGCGTGCCACTGACGTCGTTGGTGATCTGATTTACTGTGTGCAGGGTAGGAAAGTAGAAGTTTCTATAAAATTATTTTTTACCTTTTCCATTCATGACAAAATTAACAACATTAGAAGAATCGGGGTTAAATGTTTCACTTTCGTAAGTTTAGGGATCCTAATGCTACTTTTTAAAATATGAGGGTCAATATACTAATCCTAAGTAACCATGGGGGTAATCTATAATCAGTGATTTAAAAAGCGTTAGGTGCCAAAAGGCACTAAGGTCCAAAAACGCTCGAGGCGCTAGGCGCTTGCCCGAGCGAAGCGAGGCCATCTAAAATATTAAAATATAAAAAATTAATATGTTGAAATATTAAAAATATTAAAATATAAAAAATATTTTAATATTTTAAAATGTTCTCTACTGTTAACAGTAGAGTGTGAGAAAGAGACCGAGGTGAGAAGCTGAGTCACGATGAGAACTGAGTCGCGGATAGAAGGCTGCTATCTGAGAGCAACGATAGCGGGTGGTAGCGGAGAGTAGCGATAGTAGTAATGGGCAACAGCGAAGAGCAGCGGCAACAGTAGCAGAGAGCAACAACTGTGGCAGTGACAACGGGCGGTAGCGGAGAGCAGCGACAGTAGCAATGACAGTAGAGAGAGGCAGCGGAGAGGAGAAGCAGTGGAGAGAGGCAACGGTAGTGGCAGCAAAGAGTAGTGCCAATGGCAGCGAAGAGCAGCGACAACGGCAGCAGAGAGGAAATGTCGACGGCGGAATCGCGAGTAGGATTGGGGTTGGAGGGAAGTCACGAGGGGGAGGCTACGAACCAACTAACGCAAATGCAATCGAACCAGACCTAAAATGCTGGTTTGGTCGCCTGGTTTAAATCGGGCACTCGCCCGACGCCTAGGCTCAAGCGAGCGCCCAGACGGCGCCTCTTTGAAGCACGTCGCCTGGATATTAAATGAGGCGCTCGGGCCTTGCCTCATCTCGCCTGAGCGCTTAGGCGAGTGCCCGAGCGCCTTTTGAAATCACTATCTGTAATTACCTTGTTATTTACAACTATACGAAGTTTAGTATGCAAAATGCATTGGGGCATCCTTCATTGTGCCTAATGACCTCTATGATTGAGGGCACATATGAGTTACGAAACTGTATTCAGATAATTGAATACTGAATCATAATTATTAAAAGAATTAGAGAACAAAGGAAATTTAAGAAAGTGTTTTATGTTTTAATGAATCACATCAAACATATTGATTACTTCTTTAAAATAGTATTGATGAATCATAGTAGAGCTAAAAATGAGCAGTTGTTAGGAACAAATGTGCAAATTTTCATATGCTAATTGAAGAAATGGGAGAGTGTTGCAATGGAAAAGGTTGATGGAGAAAAACAGGCAGAATTACTTGATAGGTATAGTCTGTCAATTGTCAAATTCTTTTCAAAATTTAGTTTATCCCTACTACCATCCGGCATCATCTCAATCAGTCTCAATTATCATTCTTTACCAAGTTTCAGGGCAATAATTAGGTCTGCTGAAGCGACATCAGCTGTAATTTTTCTTTTTGAAAATAAAGACTTGGATTACTCACTTCAAATCAGTGACAAAAAGGGTTGGACAGAGGACCACTGTCCCGTGCATCCCAAAATGAGTGACATTGCATATATCAGCTTTACTGGATGTACATTCCAGCAAAGTGCTTGTGGTGTCTTCATATATGACTTATATGGTGTCCCCTGCCAATTTCATCCATATGTGCAGTCTAGGCATCTGATTTTTGGAACAATGAGGTGGTTTTATTGTGAAGAACTTAGTGTGTCTCTTATTAGATAAATCCTTTAACCTATATAAACAACAGTGACAAATGGACAGTTAGGATAGCTAAATGTTGTCCTTGATTTCCAAGTCAAAATGTTCCTAAACTCTTAGAAGTAACTTTCTGGTTTAAGCATATTTTTTTTGTGGTAATTAGGATAATTATTTTTCTAATTTCTGTTTTTAAATATCTCAAATAAGATAATGCTTCCCTGTGTTTCCTCAAAGTAACCTTGCACCAAAATTCAAGTTTAAGCATAACTTATGTGGTGATTAGAACTTTTAAAATTCATGTTTTTGAATATTAAAAAGAAGATGATGTTGTAGTGCTTTTCTCAGAAAACCCAGCTTCTCTTGACCAACTAACCATCTTTTGTATATGAATCAAATACTTATGTTTCTATTAAGTTTGTTTTGGAACCAAAAGTTATCAATTAAACATACTTATTTTAAAGCTTCCATCTAACAGCTCAAAGCCAATGAAGTATGATGATCCTTTCAATAATCCATTCGTGAAGATTGATAAAAGTAGTTCAACTGTTGAAATGTTTGGGAAGCTTTATCGCCTGGCTCCAGTAACCCTTACCACAGAGCAAAAATCGGTACATCAGAAGAGGAGATCACGTGTGTATCAGTGGAAGAGACCAACAGTATTTCTAAAAGAAGGTGATTCTATACCACCTGATATTGACCCTGATACAGTCAGGTGGATTCCAGCCAATCACCCATTTGCGACAACCGTAAGCGATATTGATGAGGACTTGGCTCAAAATAATGTATATCAAAAAGATGGTGTTCCTTTTCGTGTTAAAGCTGAGCATGAAGCCATGCAGAAAAAGCTGCAGGCTTTACAAAATGTAAGTATTTGTTTTGGCATGTGAAATGAATGACTTCGAATATACCAAAATTCCATCATAAAATATAACTTTATCAAGCTATTGGGTGTTGGTAAATGAACAATAATGGTCAAATGTTAAATGTGTCAGAATGGGCCATATGATTTTTTTCTGGTCGTATATAATGCTTTGCAATAATTATGGGCCATCGGACTATAACCTCCAGATTCTCATCTCCCATAGTTTGGTTTTTCTATATCATGAAGAATCATTTAGATTGTTGACTATCCATCTTCTAGTTCATCAGCTATTTGTTTTGGTTCCTACCATCTTTTCCTTATGATTGCACTTGCTGGAATGTCTTGGTTCTGTGAGACAATCATTCTGAAGCTTTTTATATGAATAAAACAGCATCCCAACTTTATCCTTTTCTTGGTGATTTATAATGAAAGTGCTTGACATTGTTCTAGTTCATTGTCATGTTTCATAGTTAGCATCTTTCTGATTTATTTGATCTGTTTAAAGGTCTAGTTTGGCTACACCATACTGTGCTAATCCTGCATTTCTGCATGCTACTTTAGCAGGAGCAAAGGTTTAATGAAGTGGCCATCAATCTTAATAACATCCGTGATTTCGAGCGACCATCACAGTCAGTGAAGCCACACGAACAGCTGGAGCAGGATTCTTCTATTTATCAGCAGAACAGCCTCATCAATGAAGGGGTTGATTCCTCAGCTGATAATCATCAGAGGAATTGAGCATATAGTCAGTTATATGTTGTTTACCAGTTGTTAGAACCTTTATGGCCAGAAGATTGAAGAATTACAGCGTTTTTACAGCAGAAGCCAAGGGTTTGAACTAAGCTTCTTGATTTCGTATTAAACAGAAAAGTTGTAAATATAAGTTCAAAATTTTGTATCCAGTTTGTCCAGTGAATGCACAAAACCAAGTTTGTCTTGAAGAAGCAGCCATTCGGCCTCAACTTTGTACAAAATATTTGCCAACTTAGCTGCTGTGGTGGTTTTATTTTCTGGTAGAATTTTCCACATTAGAGGTTTCAAATACAATCGTGTACTGCATCTAAATGAAGTGAAATATCCATCTCGATGTGTAGTTTGTACTCTATATTATGATTGTTAACTTGGTGCTTTACACTGTGTTTTAACAATGGTTACACGGGTGTCAGCCCATGTATTGAAAATTTTTCTGTCAGATCTGTCCGAGTGTAATTTTTAATCTAAATTGCTAAAGTTACTAAATAGTTATTTGTTATGCATAGTACTTTGGACAATTTTTTTGAAAAAGTTACTAAATAGTTATTTGTTATGCTGCTGTGGTGGTTTTATTTTTTTTGAATGATAAGATTACTCTTGATCTCTACTCCATCGATCGTCATGAGGCCTTGTCAAGTCACTTTCGTGTGACTATCACTTCCATCTAGACGAAGACTAGCAATAGGAGAGTTGACAAGAGCCCTAAGAGGAGAGCAATAGGAGAGTTGACAAGAGCCCCAGATGAGAGTGAGGATGAAGGGGAAAGGCCCAGGTAATATTGTCTTTTATAAAATAAGAAACCTAATAAATCAAAAAAGAAACCCTCTATAACAAAAAATAAAAACTATATAAGTATAGGCACGAGTGGTCAAAAAAAGATAACGCCCCTTTACATTATGTTAAAAATAAGTTTTTATACTTAGTCGTATAGAGATAGAATATTTCATAAAATATTATACAAAAATACAATCTCTAATCGTCTCCAATAGTCTCCTCTTATCCATGTGAACAACAAAGAGGGGGTGGGGAGAAAGATGAGCGATTATTGAGGGGGGAGGGTGAGGAAAGAGACAAGCGATAGCCCATAATCACTTGCCTTAAAATCTTACTCACATGATCTCCATCTTTTCCTTTCACCCCGAATACCATGTGACAATCATGTGTCAAATAAAAATTGATTAACAATATACTCCCGACCAATACCATAACTTTGCTTCTTGTCTTAGTGGTTACTCTTAAACTAATAATATTGTTCATGATAGAAGTTTCAATTATTTGAGATCAACTATTACATACAAATATTCCAATTGAATGATCGATAACAAGACATTATTCATTGATTGAATACAATGAGATCTACTATTGCTGACATAAGTTTCAGTTATTTGGGATCAACTACTACATACAAACATTCCAATTCAAGTTGCCAATTCCCCTACTAAAAAACGTGTAATACCGGAGACACACATGAAAGAGAGGATCAAGGGAAACCATATCACACCGCCACTATCAAAGAAACAAAGCCAACGTTGAAGACAATTAACAAGCCATTAACCAAGGATCAACAAACAATCAAACCCCTTAGGACATAAGATGGGCTTGACATAACAGCTGATGTAGATAAACCCGGCACTGGCATCGTTAACCATCTTCAAGATGATACGTTTGATTGTGTGAGAATTTGGAAAACCTAACCATTTCACAACATTATAACCCATTTTCATCATCACTGACATCTCCGAACATGGCAGCCATTTTCATAGCTAGGTTTGCAGCCATTTCTCTCCTTTGGAAATCAGGCATCAGCCTCAAGTTGTCTCGCATGTTACCGATCTCAAACATTAGCCTTTCTAGATCATCCAGACCATAATGTGCATCTTCATCCAAATCGTTGATGTTGACTACATCAGATCCGAGCTCTTCTTGCTCCTCAAAATTTGATCCTGGTTTCTGTTCTACAGATATTTCTCCCTCTTGCTTGCCCCTTATGTTCTCGATAATGTTGATTTCTGCACTAGGCTCATGTATTACAATTCCTCTTTCTAAGGCAGAAGTATTAGGAAAAACACTAGGGATGCCAGGAGCCGGAGTCGATGATGAGGTTTCAACTTCTGCTTCATGAATATTAGACATTTCATGTTTTGGGTCTTGATTGATCCCATCTGCTGTTTCATTATGCGTTCTCGTCACAACGGCATCACTATAGCCACTCCACTCTTCATCAGAACCATGAGACAAAGCCTCATATTCGATCTCATACTCTGATTCATCATCTGTGGACTCTGCCATAGGCAAGGATACAAAATGAGAAACTAAGAATTTAAATTAGATCATACAGAAAAATATGGCTGAAGTGATCAGAAACAACGGTCGACGGATGAGAAGGTTACAAACAATAAATAATTAATAGACATTACAGTGGAATGGCATCCAGAGTCGGCCTAGGATATGACTACAAGGAATCTAACAGCAAATGTCAATACCAATCAAGATTTAGTTTGGTTTAAGTTTGTTAAAAATATGAAAAATAGTACGGTCAGTTTCTTCACCTTCTTTCTCAACTAAGGATGGATTTATTATTTTGTTTCCAGATTTCAGGATCATTCCAGGCCACATATGAGCAGACAGAGCTCCATACAATCGATCTACACCTTGCATATCACCATCAACTGAAAGACCTGACAATGCACATATTGCAATATTCCATTACCAGATTATTATAAAATGTGACATGGACATAAAAGAAGCATAATGTAGAAGCCAATTATATAGACATGTAATGGCATGAGAGATCACTTGGTAGTCTTGAAGCCAAAAAGGCAAAATCGTACAAGTATGATGCACAATACGAATTTGCATTTTTCTTGTTAAGTGTAGTCCCTATCCTTCAAGATAGAAAATATAACAGAACTAAGCTAAAAGTTCCAGGGGACAAAAAAATGCATTAACTACAATTTCAAGTGTACTGAATGATTGTATGCAACAGCCAAGTATTAACAAAATTTTTCAAGGCAACATATGAGATAAGCATCAAACCCATATTGCTAATGCGCACCCTAGAACATGAATCTAGCAAATATTTGAAATTTAAGGTACAAAGGGGGTAAACTTACATTTATCAAAGTCAGCATTTGAGGCACAAGCTTCAATATACTCTATATTATGTTCGATGCACCAGTCTAGACAAGACTTTCTAATTTCCAAAGATGGTTCTTCATTCTCCAGTAAGCTACAAGCTTCAGTCTCATCAATCCCATAATCTACATACTCAGGGTGGGGATCACTACTGGACTCTCCACATTTCTGCATGCATCTTCTATACTCTGTATGGGCATAGTGACCAGTCACAAGATCTGCCTTGTTTCCTATGCATAGTAATATTTCAAACTTTTGAATATCAGTTTTGGCAACCCAATCTTGGAGGGCAACAAAAGAGGACTCCTGCAGATAAACCAAAGAAGGCAGAGTAAATTAGCCAATAACAAACTCATGCATGCTTCATACTGATTTGTAAAAATTAATGGAAATCTGAGCACACACACAAGAGGACAAAACATAGTCTAATTTCAGATATCAAGCCTGTCAAAACATAAAAATAAAGACAAACTATCAAAATTAAAAAGCATAGATTGTGTTTCGAACATCACTCATGTCAAAAACCATCACTAAGGCATCCAGCTGCTTAGAAATAGGCAATGATCTAAATGAGAACTCTTCATCAAGATGAGCTGTCCATATAGAGAGATCAGCAGTGTAATATTTAGTGTCAATCGTCCACCTAGCAAAATAATCAAAGCATAAAATGTTAAAATGTATAAGAATAACATTTCAACATCAACAATTTCATGAGAAGACAGCAAAGTAGAATAGTTTATTATTAACATGCATATTACATACCCTTGACAAAAGACCCCTGTTGACAAGTCGGATGTGTCTGGAAACTCAATTGAAAGCAATCCTGCAGTTAATGAAGACAACATCCAATGAGACACAAGAACCAAGAGAAAATAATTGGAGTTAAGCTGCTTGACAAGGTAACAAACAATAAGAAACATGTTTATTCAAGTTCACAAAGAAAAATATCTTTTTAAAGTTTGAACACAAGATGAATTTATGCACGGGATTTAAATTACCAACTAATTGAGACCTCCATCTCTCTCTTGGGCTACAATCGGATGTTAAGACACTATAATACATATGAAGCTACTTAAAAGGATCAGACGGCTCATAAAATGTTATAATATTTGATAATTCTTAAGAGCTAGACGCAACAACTATGCATAAGCTGTTACATGAAACACTTTTAAAATCGACATTCTTGAAGGCTACATACAACAAGTTTATAAACAGTGTTAGATTAGAAATCAACTTTCATAACTCTGATCACTATGCATTAATGTGTGGCCATCAAGTATATAACACAAATTCAGAGTTCAGAAAAACTATAAGAACTTTCTCCGAACAATCTCGATAATGTAGACATTCTATGAATGATAATCAGATGCCTAAAGGCAGAGATCCATATAAGCTTGAAGACCATGAATGACCTATTTTATTTTCAATAAAGAATTTAAATGGGTTCAAATCATCCAAATAAGATACAATGTAAAGAGTTTCTATGCATTTTTCTCTAATCATAAAAGAAGCAATAACAGCCCTACTAACTTTGTAATCATAGGAACATAGCAATAACTTCAACTTATGTTCTCTATTAGCTTACCAGATGCAACTGAAAGCACAATGCATAAATTTTCCAACTGAAAGTCTAATATACACCCAGGTGAAGTAAAACTATGTTGATAGAAAACATGCAGGCCAGTCTTCCATCTTCGAAAGGAATAAAAGAAAAAAACTACAAGCAAAAAAATTTAACACATTCTGTTGTTTCAGATAATGAAATGACCATGAACAGATTCCCTTTAAGATTAACAATGAATATGTTCCATTTGTTCATCTTTGAAAGCAAGCATAAGCATTATGACTGGAGATCAATGTCTACAATTCAAAACATATTGTAAATTTCATGATTTAAAAAGAGCCAACATGACGAATCAACCATAATACGAAGTAATATGAAGAGATCAGGAAGTGCACAAAGGCATTAAGACAAATTCTCTGATACTGTTCTCGAGTTGTACATAGTATGTGTTATTTTCAGCCATCACAATTTTGAGGTACCATAATAAAAGAAGAGATACAATCAAGTTTTCTGAAGGCACTTGATAAGCTTAACCAATATACAGGATTAGGTGAAGAAAACAAAGTCCGTAGCAAGTATTTAGTAGGTACTTAACACAGGTTAGCATAGGAAATAAGATTAATTCGCAAGAGGTTATATGTGCTGCATGATCATCTAGGTATCAAAACTCATTTACAGTTTGGATTTATAACTTCAGAGGGGCTTGTCGTACAACCAGATAGGAAGATTCAATGCATACTGAATAGATTGAACTTACGCTACAAACAACAAATGAGGGATCTGGATACAGGCGAAAGTTAAGAGAAAAAGAAAAGGCTGGAAGAGACCCACAACCAAATTTGACTACACAATGAATCCAGAAATAAAAAACATATTGAGCTACCACATAACGAGGTGCCGATCATTCACAAATGTTCCTGAAAATTTCCCCGTTTCCATCTCAGAGAAGCTAACGAGTATCTATAGACAACCTAAAAGAAGAGCAACTTCGCCGGAATCTTAGTAGCAACCGAAGTAAACGGAGAGAAGAGATCATTTCATATGGTCGATTACATAGACTGGTAGACGGATCGAACGTGGACAACCTACGGCAACAAGAGAAGATCGAAAGATGGTTGCAAAGAAATAGTGGCAGGCAGGGAGAGACGGGTACGAACGTGAAAAGAGGGTTCTTTTCCCAACGTTTGGGGAACCGACGAGGAGAACCCCTGGCCGGGTCTCGAGGGACCCCGAGCCGCCACCGCTACCGCCGCCGTTGTCCGCCGCCGCCATAGATCCACAGCCAACACGTAGAACTCCAACCCTAAGCCTCGGTGGCGCGCAGCAACGAGCACGAGAGAGAGAACGGGGTGGGAGGGGGCTGAGATCGATCTTTTCTATTTTGACCCCAAAAGAAAAACCTATAAGAAAAATAAAAGGATCAAATTTTACGTGAATCTTAAAGCACTCAACGACATCCAAAGTGATACCGAGGAGAATATTTTCACGCGAATCTTAAAGCAGTCGACGAAAATTTGCGCTAATCATAAAGCACTCGAGGACTGGCACTGTCTCGTCGTAACGCATGAGACATGCCGACCGATACGATGCTATCAATGTATCCGATATGTGCTGATACGGATACTGTACAGATAAAAGCACGTCCGTACTCCATCATCAACCATAAAACCAACATAGATTCCAATTGCATGCTTACATTGTGTAAACCACTGGTGGATTGGAATGACAGAGTCTCGTGTCGCCAAAGCAACAATCTTTGATGATAAAGCTTCCATGGTGTCACCCGAAGGCATTCGCTTCTCCTCTCATCCTTCTTCTTCATGTTCTTCCTCGCTCCCCCCTCCGATCGAGAGCCTATGGCTCCGCCGGTGCCCTCGGGGAGAAAGCCTATATGGCAATCACCCAAGAGCTCTCCGACGCTATGGCAGCTTGCGGCGCCACCGGCTCTGTATCCGGTGCCCGGAGGCTCCACGCCTGCCTCGTCTCTGCTGGCCTCGAGGCGTCCCGCTTCCTCCAGAACAATCTCCTGAACACCTACCTCGGCTGCGGCTCCCTCGACGATGCGCGCCAAGTGTTTGATGGCATTTCCTTCCCTAATGTCTTCTCCTACAACATGATGATAAACGGGCTTTCAAAGTTTGGATTTTTACGTGAAGCAGTGGAGTTGTTCGATGAAATGCCTGCTAGGGACTCTACTTCCTGGAACACGCTCATGGCAGGTTATTTCCGCAATAGACAGCCCTTGGAGACGGTGAAGACATTTGCTTTGATGGTTCAGGATCCAAACTGCAAGCCAAATATGTTTACTTTTGCCTGTGCAATGAAGTCGTGTGGCGCACTTGGTTTTCATCGGTTGGGCCTTCAATTGCATGGTTTTGTTGAGAAGCTTGATTTTGGAAGGGATTCTCAGGTTGGTGCATCTCTTATTGATATGTACGTTAAGTGTGGAGCTGTCGACCTAGCCTCGCAAGTGTTTGATCTGTTAGAAAGCCCTGATCTTTGTTGTTGGAACAGTATGATCTTAGGTTATGGGAGTTCTTATGCCACTGAACGTGCTATTGAGGTATTCAATAAGATGCCTGATCGAGATGTTGTATCGTGGAACACAATGATTTCGATACTGTCTCACAATGGCCGAGAACAAGAAGCACTTTCTATGGTAATAGAGATGAGTACCCTGGGCTGTGAGCTAAATTCTACAACATACACTTGTGCGCTTAGTGTTTGCGCTAGTATTCTTGATTTGAGATGGGGCAGGCATCTTCATGCTCACATTATAAGGAGCCAAAAGAGCATCGATGTGTTTTTTGGGAGTGCACTGGTTGATATGTATGCTAAATGTGGCCACCTACAATCAGCACAGAGAACTTTTGATGCTTTATGTGACCGTAACACTGTGTCATGGACTGCACTTATTGCAGGATATGCTCATTCTGGACTTGTAGAGGAAGCTATGAAAATTTTCAATCAAATGAGATCAGTGCCGATGTCTTTGGATCAGTTCATCCTGGCGACTGTAATTAGTGCTTGTTGTACTAAAATGGATTTATGTCTTGGAACTCAGTTACATTCTATTTCATTTCGGGTTGGATCTTGTTCATCTGTTCCTGTGTCCAATGCTCTAGTCACAATGTATGCGAAGTGTGGAAATGTAGAGACTGCTGAGTGTGTCTTCCGGTCAATGCCTGTTAGAGATGTCATATCATGGACCAGCATGATCACTGCATACTCTCAGATGGGTAACATTAGCAAGGCTCGTGAATATTTTGATGCCATGGAAGGCAGAAATGTGGTCACATGGAATGCAATGCTAGGTGCATACATACAGCATGGGAGCGAGGAAGAAGGCCTTAAAACATTCATTATGCTACAACGGGAAGGTGCTGTAAAACCAGATTGGGTTACTTTCGCTACACTGTTTCGTGCTTGTGCTGAGGTAGCAGCAGTGAGATGTGGTAATCAGGTAATTGCCCATGCTTTCAAATTGGGGCTCAATTCTGATACCTCGGTGGCAAATTGTATCATCACGATGTACTCGAGATGTGGAAAGATTGTCGAAGCACGAGAAGTATTTGAGTCTATCTTGGACAAGGATCTGGTCTCCTGGAACGCTATGATTACTGCTTATGCACAACATGGTCAAGGGAAGGAAACAATAGAAATTTTGCAAAGGATGTTATGTGACGGAATAAAACCTGATTATATAAGCTATGTTGCAGTTCTATCAGGTTGTAGTCACTCGGGGCTCGTAGAGGAAGGGAGATTTTATTTTGACAGTATGACAAGATGCCATAACATAAATCCTGGTCTAGAGCATTTTGCTTGCATGGTGGATCTTCTTAGCCGATCTGGTTTGCTAGAAGAAGCCAAAAAAGTCATAGACAGCATGCCTATAAAACCAAGTGCTGAAATTTGGGGTGCTTTGCTTGGAGCTTGCAAGATATATGGAAACAAAGAACTTGCAGAATGTGCTGTGAAACATCTATTCGAGTTGGACACAAAGGACTCTGGAAGTTATGTTCTTCTGGCTAAGATATATGCAGATGCAGGGAATTCAGATGATTCGGCTAGAGTGAGAAAGCTCATGAGAGAAAGGGGAATAAGAAAGAATCCTGGATGTAGTTGGATTGAGGTTAAGAACACAGTACATGTTTTCACTGCTGATGATTCAAGCCATCCACAAATTGACATTATTCTGAGGAAACTGGATGAGCTCATGAAGATGATAGAAGCTGTAGGATACGACCAGAGCGCAACTTCCCTATCTCAAGGCCATCACAGTGAGAAGCTGGCAGTGGCTTATGGTCTTGTTAGCTTGCCTGAATGGATGCCTATCCACATCATGAAGAACCTCCGAATATGCTGTGACTGTCACACAGTCATAAAACTCATATCTTTGGTTACTACAAGAGAGCTAATAGTGCGGGACGCCAACCGCTTTCACCATTTTAGAGAAGGATCTTGCTCTTGTCAGGATTACTGGTGATTGACCTGAAAGCATGATGAGGCTTGTTTGTTTCTCCTTCTCTTGTTAATTTTTCTGTATCGTCTAATTTAAGAATCACTGATTCATTAAGTATATGTATTTTTTCTGGACTGAGATTCATCAAATAAAAAATTAATCAGTGATCAAGCTGCACCGTTATATTTATTTGTTTGTCCCTCACTTTTACTAGTAGAAACATTACTTCTTGAATTGCTTTAGTTAGTATTCTGAAATGGCTGGAACTTATAGTGCCACATACTTTTGAAGCTTATCTGTGGGCTGAGCCTCTTATTCCTTTTCATGTGCATGTATTTATAGGACAGAGACTGTTGTTTATAGAAAAGGAAACATTACTTCGATTGAGACTAGGATTTGAGATATATTTTCTTTTCTTCCAAGACAAGTGCTATGTCTCAATAGAAGACTGGACTCTGGTGATGTGTTAAACTCAAAGTGCACAAGCTATCCCGACCGTCTATAACCCACTTGATCATTCTGACAAGTTACTCAATAGAATTTATCATCGATTATACTTGTCATGCACATCACATAGAGGAATGATCTGCTAATGTTAACACGAGTTGGATTAGGATACGGAGTAGGAAATAACGGCTGTTACAGATTTCATCACTAGTTACATTACGCAATAGTGAGTTTGATGTCCTGTTATGTGAGCACTGTAAGATCCATGAGCAAATTATGTACACACATAGTTATATACACATCACAAAATTAAATTTTACATCAACTTCAAGGGAGACAATTTTGATGCAATTTTATACATGTATATTCGTTTCAGCATATCGCGGTGCACCTTCGAGAACAGAGAGGAGAAAGTGGAACAGGAATTGCTTCATCGCAAGACAAGTTTCATTTTGCAATTTGATCCGCACAAAGGGGATATCCAGGAGATTGATCATATTTCTGCCTCGTTTACTTCATATTTCTGAGACAATAACAACGAGATTGATTGATCAAAGTTGCAGACAAGATCAACTAGGGCCAAGGATCGCAACATCCTTCACCACAGTTGCACGCCTTTTCTTGGAGGGTGGACGATCTTCTCGCCAGTCTTCAGACTTGCTGGCCTCCTCACGTCGGTCAAGCCATTCGCTATATATAAGTCGACGGCGGTCGATAGTGGTGGTGTAGGTCTCTTTACAGGCATTTTTTGCTTTCTTACTCGAGAGGAACACTTTGCAGCGACGCATACTGTAACTATGTGCATCCACATCATAGAAACAACCTTTACAGAAACATCAGATAGAATTCCTCAGAGACTTTGATCACCGAAAACATTCGCCACAATGACGGGATGGCATTTTATTCATCTATATTATCATTTGTTATTGCATATGCCGGTTTCGTTTTGTAACCTGATCCCAAAATTGTGGGACCTAGAAAACGAGAAAGAACCACATGGAACTTAGACAAAAACAACGTGATGTATCAACTATATGCTTCTTGGGGGTGTCTACTTCGAATGCTATAATCCTCCACCAGAATTGCACGCCTTTTCTTGGAGTGGCGGTGATCATCGTCACGGAGTTCTTCAGACTTGTCGACCTTCTCACATTCGTCGACCCACTCGCTGTATATGTCGATGGGCTCCGTCAGGTGATGGATAGTGGTGGCGTAGCTCTCTTTGCAGACCCAGCACTGCGCCTCCCCAATCTTGAGTTTCGTATCCAAGGTGCAACTTACGCTCTTGTCGTGGTTGCAGAAGGGGCAAGTGAAGGCCTCCTCCAGCTTGGACTCCACCTTCTTGGTCTTAATCAGCTTCGACGTTCTCGACCTTCTCTTCGCCATCTCGTTCGCTGCGATCCGAAGCAGTGTGATCTATCAAATACTCGACGGTGCAATGAAGGAAAAAACTAGAGAAAGAGAGAGAAAGGCAGCGAGAAACTAATCAAGAAGGAAAAGAGGAGAAGACGCTTACCAGAATTCTTCAACAGCGCACTCTAATCTGCTACGAGAATGAAGCAAGCGAGAGAGGAAAGAATGGCAGAATCTAAGGTCGGGGATGGGGTTCCATTTATAGCCTCAGACTGGCGTTTGAAATAGGAAACACCACTTCCACTGGGGTTCGGACTTCCATTTCATTCTGGTTTCCTGCGCAAACTAGGATTTCCAAGAAATGCCTACATCACCTCTTTTGGTAAAATCTTGATGGGAATTATAACCACATCAAGTTTCCTAAATAGTCTCAGTAAGCAGTGGGTGCTGGAAGAGTTCCAAGATACTGTGAAGGCTAGCAAGCACCAATCTGACGGTACCAATGCACCCGCCGATATTGTGCACGAATCTTGATCAGGACTGTGCGATTTTCAATAGGAGACGGGAAGACTTCTTGTAATTTTTACTGGTCAAATCAATAAATAAGATGATAATTCCACATCCTAATGTTCTATAATTCAGAAACACGATAGTTTACTCCAATGTAATTATCATCATAACGGAGAGGAATGGATTCATGATGACCGTAATCAACATTCTTAAACAATATGTTGTCTCCCTAATCTGTTGGCCCTTCTAAGAGCATAATTTGTGGGGCCCGTCTTCATGTCATACTTTCTCAAACGAGATCGGCCAGATTCGGGCGGTCCAGAAAAGAGTAAAGCTTCGGCACGGTCCGGTTCAGAGTGCTCTGCCGTCAAAACACCGCCAGGGGCCCATCAGAGCCTAAGAAGTCAAAGGAGTTTGTTATATATGGAACACCCAAATTTCCCCAGTCACCTATCCTTCCTGTGATTCGCGAATGCAAATCGTCTACGAGCAGCTGTGAGGTGGGTACAAATTCCGGCTAAATCATGAACAGGTCGGAATAGATTTTTGGTGTATATAGTCCCTTCTCTTCCACATAAAGTTGCTCGCTTTTTTCTCTCCTGTCGTCTTCCCATTCTTCTGTTCTAAACCATGGCTTCCTTCTCCGCCCCTGCGACCGTCCTTTTCGTTGCCGTCGTCGCTCTCCTTGCCTCCTCCACCGCCGCCCGGCCCGGCGCCCCTTTCCACCCCCGCAACATCCTCTTTATTACCTATTCCATCTCTACCACCGGATCCTCCTCCACTGCGGCCGACGTCTCCGCCGCGCCGCATCGCTTCTGCCGTTTCGTCTCCATATACCGCACCATCACCCCCTTCTCCTCCTCCTCCTCCGCCTACGCCTTAAACAACGGCCGCCCGTTTCTGATCCGACGGCCGCACCTGGTCCGCCGCGCGGTCGCCGAGCCCGCCGGCCTCGGGTTCGGCTCCCTCCAGGAGCGCGCCAAGGACATCATCGTGGTCGTGGCCGGCCTTCTCTTCGGCGTCGGCTGCGGCGCCCTCACCGCCGCAACCATGTACCTTGTCTGGTCCCTCGTCTCCAACCACTACGATGCGTGCGTATCCGACGGGGAGGAGGAAGAGGATTACATGGCTGATAGCCCCAAGAAGGTGGGGTACGTCCAGATCCCGGCCGCCGATCATGCCCCGGCCAAAGAAGGGTATGAGGCGAATTAGGGCTTGGTGCTTTACGAATCATGGTGTTGGATAATTGTTTAGTATACTGCACCAATTGATTCCCATAGTATTATGTTCGCGTATGACTTGCATTGTGTCTTATGGCTATGGTATCTTCCTTGGATTTCACATAAAAAAAGTCGAGTTCTTGCTAAAATAAGACCATTTTCTGCCGAATCTTGTTACATTTCATGCTGTGGATCTCGTTTATCCCTTTCAATCGTAGAAGCTCTAGGAGATTCTGATCTGCTTATTATAAATATGACACCTTTATCTCTGTGTGCTTTTAGTATAAAGCAGTTTGATTCACGAGTACTGTTTTTTGGCTCATGCTTTAGGAGATGGTTGTGATTCTTTGTTTTGAGATATTTCATCTTTCATTTTCCTAGCACTCTACTTTTGTAGTTGGACTGCAAAGTAAATGAATTTTATGGCAAATATCAAGAGTTAGGATGAACAGGCTGTTAACTGGTTTTGAGTAGATTAAAGTGGAGTAGCTATCAGGATTTTGAGTATTACCTATTCTGTCTGTGATGGTCAGTCACTGCCACACTAGTGTATCTACCATGCATGACACAGAAATACCATAGAGGAAACAATTATAATCATCTTATGTCCATTTAATCATATAAAGCTTAGTGGATAGAGATTGGTAGGCATCATTAGTCACTTGCAGAATTTACTTCAGGTGTGGCCTGGTGATCAGATCATTCGATGTTTTTGTTTTGATTGGCAAGCAGAGCCGATCCATTCACACATCAAGGATGGGGTTATGAACAATTTGTGTTAACAAGCAAAATCTTGGCCTGGGAAGCATTGCCCGTTCTTGAAGGGATCAGTGTGGAATTCGTTATTGCAGATTTATCATTTGATGGCCAACATAGTTGGTAATTCACATTTCTCCATGATTCTTATCACAGTGGACTCGTTCAGATTTTGATGACCTTACGTCTCCGAACACAGATTCCATATCTTACACTAAAATGATTACTGAATTACATTTCTTACATTAGAACAATTTTGCTACATGCCCTTTACCTAAACCATATGGATAGCACTTGAAATGCGATTTGTAGTGGATATTCAAATATTGTTTGTTAATATTACTCCAAAAAATAAGGTTAATCAAGACTAACAGTAGTCAATATTAGTCTGTTTCGAGTATAAATAAATAAATACCCTAATATTTTTTATAATTATAATTAATTTATATATAATACTAATTAATTTAACGAAAATGATATATTTGCAATCCTCTCGGCAGCGGTGGGTGATTGGCAATTTCGTGAATACGACCAAGTAGGGGGCTCTAAACCAAAACGCCCGTAGTCAAGAATGCGACATCTGACGGCTTGAGTTGAAAACACTGGACGCCGCAGGCTACGTTTCCCTTTTTTATTGGCTATACATCAGAGAACGGGGAACCTGTCCACCACCACCACCGTCCATCTTCCCCTACCCGAAGTATCGACGGCTCTGATGACCATAGAAGCCTGGGCTCTAATTTGAACGAATCAGCAAAACCAAACATGGTTGGATCTACTCCTCTCTCTCTCTATGGTCATCGGGCGGACCTAAATGGCCCCTTCCCTCTGCTCTGCTCTGCTTCTGCTCCTGCTGATTACTCATGTCGCTTCTCGGGTAGTATAGCAGAGCTTCTCCGGCGAACTGGACTCTCTCTTCCTTCAAAGCGGTACAGTTTCCCGTCTCACGTCATGTTCTCATCCTCTGTTCTCCATTTTCTTGTCTTTTTTCTTGTTATCTTTCTCAAGAGCACGCAGAAGAAAAGAAAGAAACACCTACCCTAAGTTTTCTTTTCTTAGAATGACAGCAGTAGATTACGAACATTGCAATAGAACGTGAGATGTTACTGATGTAGTGGTTCCTTAGATGTTCTTAACTGATCCTGTTTGCCAAACTGGAGTTCATTTTCTGTGAACTTGACATTCTTTGTTGCTTTCCCACCCCTATTTTTTCACCCAGGCAGATAGCTTTAGCTGTGCAAAAGAAAGCAAAAATAAAAATAAAAATAAAACCTTCTCTTTTCTTAGTATATCTGTACGGATTATAAAGATTTTGATCAAACATAAAAAATAATTTCATTAGTTTAACGTGTACAATGTGAAATATTACTGATCTAGCATAGAATAAAGGTTACATGTAAAACCAGAGTTGGAATTACAACACTCTGAAGCTCTTCTCTCCGTGTTTCACATCCCCAATCTTTTTCGCTCTTAAGGCTGGCTGGCAATCCCAACTTTTCCGGTGATTATGATTTATTTCTTTTTATCTAGATTACGTTCCAACTTATTTAACGTAACTTATCAGATTTAAAATGTATATCTTATCTCCAAGCTGTTTCGATCGGATTTAGCTTTTTAACCCTATCACAATGCCTCCACGCAGCCATGGTTCTCCTGCTTCCTGATCTCCGGTGATGTAACCCTCCGGGTTCGCACCAAGTTATCTTTTCGTTTACGAGTTAACTTGTCTGTCACTTTTTGGCTCGTCTCACGTCATGCTCAATCGATTCAGGAGAAGGCCTGCAGCGTTTTCTTCTTTTGTGTTACCGCATTGAAACGCGGCGTCCCTGGCGACGTTTCCCATTGCGATGACGACGGCGACGACGACGACGACGACGACGACGGGACACTCCTTGTGTCGGTCCTCCACATGCCCGCCTTGGCTTCAAGCGACTCTTGCAGGTGACGAGCACTGTTCCCCTTAGCTTTTCTGCTGCTGCTTCTCATCTCTCGAATGGAAGAAGTCGGATGGGAAAAGAACAAAATTAACGTACTTGAGTGTTTGCCGAAGTAAATGAAGGATGCTATGTCACTGTCTCGGTAGTGTTGCTTCCAGGGGGAGTAAAGTGGTTGGATTCTCTATATTTGCTTTGGATGGTTGCTATCATCCCTTTCTGGTTGAGTTTGAAACGTACGATAAGTTTTTAATGGGATCTTGCAGTCAAATGGGGAGTGGAATGGAGAGTAGAAGCAGAATAGCCTGCTACGTTACGTAGGTCTATTAATATCTGCTGTCCTCTTGTCAATACTGTTCGCTCATTACGATGCAGATTTACAATTTCTGCCTACTCTGCAGCAGAACATAAATTGAATGTGTTTTTTTTCTGGAGAAAAAGGTTGGGATTAATTTCAAGTTAAAATTAGATCTCTGATTTCTTTGGTTATGAGATAGGAATTGCAAGTAATTGGGTTAATGGGGTGCAGATATAGAGCATAGGGTGCAAGCAGTCGCGGTGGCTGTACCGGAGAACTCGAAGGCGGACACGTTCGCGGAACGGGCGGAGAACTACTACCAGAGGCGGCCCCAACTCATCGCCCTCCTCCACGACCTCCATAACCGGTACCACTACCTAGCCGACCGCTACTCCCAGTCCCTGCTCCACCGACATCAACGTCGCACATCCTCCGTTCCCTCCGACCTCGACGCCGATGACGATCATGATCTGCGGGACTCCGCTTACTCTGACGCCGAGAGCTCCCTCTCCTTCCAACCGTTGGCTGGCCAGCCACAACCGCTGCGCCGAGGTACGCCCCCCGCTGTCGCCGCCGCCGACGACCTGGACATGATCGTGGCGCAAATGGTGCTGGCGTCGGTGGAGCGGGATCTGCTGGAGGCGGAGAGCGCGGAGGCAGAGCGGCGGCTGGCCGAGTCGGCGCGCAAGATCGAGCTGCAGGGGAGCCTGGTGGAGGTGCTTGAGGCGGAGCGGATGGTGCTTCTGGGGGAGAATTCGCGTCTGGGCTTCCGGGCGGTAACCGCGGAGGAGGAGATGCGTGCGGTGGCGGCGGAGCTCGGTTACTTGCGGCGGCGGGGTGCGGACCTGGCGCGGACGGTGGTGAAGCTGCGGGAGGACCACCGTGTGTGTCTCATGGGGCGGACGATCGAGGGTCTCCAAGCGCAGATCTACGAGCTGGAGCAACGGAACCGGGAGTGCTTCGAGGCCATGGCGCGGCGGGAGAAGGAAAAGGGGGAGGCGCGGGCGGAGGTGAACCGCCTGCGCGATGAGAACCGCCGGCTGAGGGAGGAGGCGGAGGCGGCCCGGGGTGGTCGGCCGCGGGCTCGCAGCTTGTGGGAGCGGGTAAGTATGTTGGAATGGGCCTCTTCCCCATGCGTTCCGCACGTGAAGCAAGCAAAGGGACTCAAAGGCTGCCTCGGCTAATAATATTGAGCCCTTTTCATGCTTCGTTTCTTTTTGCCTTACGTTATCGCGTAGACTGTATAGAGTCGTAACGTGATGCAGTTCTGCTATGGAATTGTCCACTTTGGCTAAACTTAATTTGATTCATCACGGTGGAATTTGTGATTGTCTGAGAGTCTGATCAAATCACGAGTGATGGACACAAAGTATGGCTGATCAACGCGTGCTTTAATTGATATGCCAATCAAAAAACTAATGTATAGAACATCGATCTCTTCAGCGTCTGATCAAAGCATGTGTGAAATTAGAGCAAAAACATAGTATAGATTAATCAAAATTACAGAAAAAATTAAAATTCAGAGTTCATATTAGAACAGAAAAGAGAAAAAAAATAAAACAAGATATACATCAGATATATTTACATTAAATAGCGAGTTTCTACATTGCCATTTTGGTTCTAATTAGGGAGAACTTGGAAAATAAAATGATTATTTTGAAAAAAAAATATTGTTTCTAATTTTTTAAAATAAAAATATTTTGCGAAAATTTTTGAAAGGTAACAAACTTTTCGCACGAATTCGCCTTAATTACTATTTAGTAGTGCTTCCGTTTTGCGTGCAACAGTTGCTTGCGATGCCGACTTGCAGCAGACCGGAGGCGGCTCAACGCGGCATTCCTCGTTCCCATCGCCGCGTGAAACGCTCCGTTGACGCTGCCCGTCAGCCGGTCCAACCCGTCCGTCATTTCCTCCGTCGCGCTCTCCAACGCTGCCACCGCCATCCCCAGCCTCTCCATTCGGTCTCCGTGCTCCTCCCAGCAAATCACCGCCTTCAACTTCCTCACTGACGCCTCCACCGCCTCCAGCTCGCTGGGGGGCACCGTTCCTATTCGGGCGGAAACTTTCGCCGCGACCTCGTTGTAGGCCTCCGCCCACGGCCAGTCGCTGGAGACCCGTATGTCGTGCGGGAGAGCGGCCTCCCCTTTGCCGATCGCCCCCATCGTTGCCGCCGTTACCAGGCGCGAGACAGCCTCCACCGCGTACGTCGCCCTCCGCACGACCGACGCCTTGCCACGCGGCGGCTCATCCGGCGCCATTATCCGGATCGTCTTGCCTGCTGAGCCCTCGATCTCGCAGCTCGGCGCGCTCTCCCACTCGACTATCGCCTTCTGCGCCCGTCGGATTCTCTCTTTCGTCAGCGACTCCTCGTCGGAGAGGAGGCGGAGAACGAAGCGAAGGGGGAGGAGCCAGCGCTCCAACCTGGCGACCTCGGCGGAGGCGGCGTTGCATGCGTCGAGGAGAGTAACGCCGGCGTCGAGGAGGGCAACTAGGTCATCCGGGTCGGGGCCGCGGAGGGAGTGGTCGGAGACGAGGGCCGCGGCGCTGGCAAGGGTGAGGGCGAGGAGGTGGACGGCGCCGGCCACCCAAGGAAGGGGGACCTGCAGCGAGTGGCCGGGGATTGGGAGGAGGGAGCTGAGACGAAGAGCGAGAGTTTCTTCGAAGTGGCGAGAGGAGGACGGCGAGGGGGAGGGCTTGAGGGGCGACTTCGAGGGGAAGAGGAGGAGCGAGGTATAACACTTGTCGATTATGGAAGACATGGGATGAGGAGGATCCTAAGAGTATTTCGCTACAGTTGGGATATCTTATTCGGAGTCGGGGATAAGGGATGCAAAGAACTGTGTGCGCGTGCCGCGGAAGAGGCAGGAATAGCTTACTCCGTGTTGGGGGTAAGGGATGCGAGGGGCCAAGCTTTATACAGGAAAGGATGGATTACCCAAACACGCGTATTGCGTGTTTGGTTAAATGCCTTAAAGGCCTTTGGTACGACCACGTTGCCATGGTTGCTTGGAACGGGTCAAGTGAGTACTTACAAAGGATTTATGAATGGAATGAGCATGACGAATAGGATATTGACGCCGGTGCTTTGATGTGTGCATACGTTATCCAGGGTGACGTTGGGCTTTGTGGATGCATCCCGTGTTCTCGGACTACCATCACACGGTACCTCGATCGATTCAGTCTTGGTGGAATTTGTTTGACTATTGCAAGTTTGATGGACACAAAATTGCTAAGAACAGGGACGGAAGTTTGGTGGCCAAGTCTTCTCATAGTAAAATCCATCCGTGTTGGTTCAGAAATGATGATCGACTTCATCTACCGTGATGCGAATGCATTAGACATTCAATTGATGGCTTGTTGCATTGACCCCGTCAACTTCGATTCAATTCGTCGTCCGACTGTATTGTAGATCGCGAATTTAGATCCGTCTTCCAAGAGCCGAGTAAGTTCGGAAGCAATCCGTAATGTGGTTGCAGAAGAGGAGCTGCAGGTTTCAGTTCTCTATTTTAGTTATCGGTCTTGGGGCTTTTCACGTATAGGCAATCCGATTACATATTTCAGTACTCACAAGACGAAATGATAATTGATAGTCCCAACATTAACATAAATCGTCACTCCACAATTGTTTATGCACGATTTCTTAGCTTAATGATGGTTGGATAATCCTGTTAGTATAAAAATCATAATATGTTATTATTATACAAAAAAATTTAATGTCTAATCAAATAATAATAAATTTAAATTTATGATGTATACTTTTCGATATTGCTTAGAAAACCCTTTTTCTGATTTGCGGATGCACCATCATCAGATTCAAAATCCGTAGTGACGTCGATCTTTAAGATTTATCAAATTGATAAAAAAATTAAATATCTATAATTATAAGAAATATTTAAGATTTATCAAATAAATTATTATCAAACGTAGGTGATAAATACCAATCACTATCGCTTTCATTTTAAGATGATTCATTGTAATGATAAATATTTTATTCTCTTTTAATTTTTATATTAAAATAAATATCTATTGTTGGTAACGTGTTAGAATTAATCTAAGAATATTTTTGTAATGTTTTATTTAAAACATACAAAAATCAAATTTGTACCTTTCCATTTCAAATCAAACTTTATGTTCTTCATATGACATTCCTTGTCATAGAAGTAATATGGAGATTTTTTTATGAATTTATATAATATTTATAAACTTAGATAATTTATGCTTTAACTTTCTTTTATTGTTACCCACTCTTGTACCTAAAATATTATGAGTGTTTTCTATTTTAATCTTAATTCTTTCCAAATACATATATTAGTTAGCTCATCCAAATTTCATTTATCCTTAATTTTATTATAGTAAATTTTAAATGAGACAAACTAAGAAGAAATAAAATTTAAAATAAATTATATAAGAAATGACTTAATTATATGAATGTTCTTTGAGTTTACAGTTTTATCAACCATATTAAGAATATAATCTTAAATTTTTAAATACTTTTATATTAAATTTTAGTTATTTTTTATTAATATATTACTCAATTACTTATCAGTAAGTTTAAATTAATCTTTAAAATATTTTAGTACGCTAATTATAGATTATAATGAAGTCTAAATATTATTCATAATTATCATAAAATTGAGTATTTTAAACTTTTTATCGATTATTTTAATTATTTATTTCATAAAACTTTCAATAATTAAGTATGTGATCCTTTTAACTAATGAATACATGAGTTAGATATAATACGGGCTTAGTCAATCTTAGAACAAATGGAATGGGATTCTTAAGTATCCATCGTACAACCACCTCTACGTAAAACATTTCTCTCATATGGAATCCACTTAGCTTCTTTTTTTTTTCTTAAATTCACGAACAATTTCTAAATGATAATATGTTTTGGAGGTTAAGCAGGTATGTTTTCGTATTATGGGTTAGTTTAAAGATGAGAAGAACATGCATACTTATTTAAAGGTTTCAAGTGTACCAACCTATAATCTTCTCAAGCGTAGACTCGTCTGTGCTATCAACTTTATAGAACGATTCATTTATACGATCACATCCATCACAACCATTTCAAGTAGACGCTATGTGCATTCTGTAGAATAATATTTAAAGATGGATAAAATTATGTGATTACTTTTCTGCCAATCAACTTAAGCACATCACAAACCAAGTGTTCATAAGGGTGCCACAGGAATCGAGCAAAGCATCATCTACTTATCAAGAACATTAATATGCTTACCGTGAGTAATTTAGTGACGACATCATCTCTTTCTCCAAGCTATAATTTCTTGACGCTTCTTGAATTGCCATATTATCCGAATTACTGTGAATATTCTTTCCAAGAAAAGTAGAAACTGCATTTAGGCATTCGGACTCTTCATTTCCTTTATCCGTCCAATTATTCCTTCTCTGTTTCTTGATCCTTCTCAAGCTCTGCAACCTAAACTCTACTTCTTTCATCGTGGGCCGGGCCGATCATTTCCTTTTAGTTGGAGACACATCTGTGCAAGTTGGGTCACTTCGTGAAGCCCTTCCTCTATCCCTTCTTTCACAACACGAGCTTCAAGAAATTCTAT